GGAACTTGAGAGTCCACAGGCAATTTATCTGGCAGTATAATTTTCCCAGTTTAAGGGGAAAAAAGTAGGGGCTTATGCCAATTGTCTCTTCATAGGATGAAGTTATCATAAGCTTCCAGTATTATCTCTGCATTATGTCATTGTCTCTGAAGAAAAGCTTCATCACTTGTTTATAGAACTTAGAATTGGCTGTTGTACAAATAAAGATTAAATAATTTAGAAGTATAGAGACTTGGGGGGCATGGTGGTCGCTGTCCCTCCCTTACAAACTATGATTCACGAATGCTGTCATATGAACAAGTAATAACAATAACACAAAATCAAGTAAAATTTCCAAGTGTTAATCCTGTCTGTTTTGCAGCTCTTCTTCCTGTGCTTTGAATGCAACAGAAATGTTTGAAACAATAAATACATACGGAAATACTACAGAAAAACTCAAAAGACAAGAAAAACCCAAGAAATTAAACATCAGTGCTCCCATAAGCACTTACTGTTCACAGCCTCAGAATAACCTTGCCACCGAACTGAAGTGTGGAAATATATTCTGAGTAAAATGATTACTTTCATTAGAAAGTCTCAGTAACGTATGAAAACAACTATGAATACACAAAACCTGAATGAAATAAATAAAAAACAGGTATACCAAGATAACATAACCGCTTTCCAATCTGTTCACAGACTTTCAGGTACTTTCAAGAAGTGGAAATTATCAGTTACACTGCCTTCAGACAAGGCTCGCATACTCATGGGAAAGGAAAAGTAATGCTGAGAATATGCAGTGGAAGATACCTAAATCCAAGTGAAAAAAATCAGAACATTTAAGGCAACGCATCTGTGCTACCCTATATATAGCGTCACACAGAAATACCAGATATAAAGCTATTTTATAGCTTGAACTAGCCAGTTTAGGTCTTGGAAGCAAAGCAGCTCTCACAAGGAACTACTTCAATGCTGGTACTGCTTCTGCTGCTCACACTCAAATCCCCAACTACCTTATGCCAGCTGTTCCACCTAATCTTTTCAGCTATGATTAAATTTGAGGAACTCTACTTCTCAAAGAAACAGGGGTAAGTTACTTCATCTACCGCACATCCATTGCTGGGGGTTCATAATAGCAACTGATGTATCATGTAAGTACAGCTATTTACAAAGCTAGTATGTCCTTCCTCTGCCCTGTTTATAGTCCTTGATGATCTTTCTCTCATCACAGGCTACACATTGGCATAGTTTAAGTGGCTAAGCATCCATGGTGAATCGAACTTTGGTGAGCAGCACACACATTTATGCTATCTTACTTCAGGATTTACTTGTAGTATAGTAGTACTTGACATTCTGTTCTGCCTGTGTTCAAAGCACTCTTAGTGTGAGCACAAGTAAATAGGCAAACTGTATGCATACAACCTTGATAATACTACTGTTCCAGCAAGCAAAATAAGCTAAAGTGTAAGCAGTGTTAAGGAGAACCTCTATCTCTGCACCACACTTCTTACTAAGTGTTTCTGCAGTTTATCACAGAACAATTTAATCTCCTCTTCAAAGATCTATTTAATATCATCTATAAAATGCATTACTTCATTTCTGAGGTCAGAATTACTCACCAGGCAGGAAGTCTCAATTATTTTATTTCCAGAATAAAGTTATTTTGTTTCAGAAAAAGTAGTTTTGCATACAAAACCAACTGCACACCCAGTAAAGACAAGAAAATTATCTAGAGTTATTAATCACTATTTCTGTGCTCACACTGCACAAAGTACGAGCTTCTTCACACATAACATTATTTTGCTCCCACAGAAGTGTAAGTAAAATTGAAAACTCTCCAACTAAGAGTAAAGGGGCACAATTGTAAGCACAAATGGAGAGTTGCTACTTAAAACTAACATGAGAAAACGGAAGCCTCCAACATGCAGATTTTATGGCTGAGCTGAAAGCACAGGACTGCAATATAAGAGAAAAGATTTTGGTCTGAACATTCTTCCTCTATAAGCCTTCTGGAACATTCAATTTTAAATTTGGAGGTTTTAAAATTAAAAAAACCTGCAGAATAGAAGTTTCTCGGTAGGGATTAAAAAGCCATAGATAACAACATATTTGCTAGATTCCTCACCTTTGTAATCTGGCAACTGAGGAAACTCAGGCTCAGCAAGTCCTTTAACTTAAAAGTTCTTGGAGATTCAGTTTAAACCTATCTGAACTCAGTCAGTGATACATAATAACGTTATCCAATACCTGTAACGCTTGTCCTCTCAGTAACATGAAAAATGCTGTGCTGGAGAGTGATTTCTTGGAAAAAAGTACAAAATAAGCATCTCGGAAGCACTGGTTACTAACGCTCGATTTGGATTTTTGCCAATTGCATGCAGTCATCCTCACCTTCCTCATTTGCAAAGGATCTATAAAGCCTCTATCTCCTACTCCTCTTGTTCTTTCAGATAATTTTCTCATTTTGTTTTCCATAATCATGAAAAGTGATAAGGAGGAAGAAAATGAGCAATGGACAGTGGACAATACATTAGTCCAGGCTGTATCCCCTTAAAGAGTATTAGTTTTTTCAATGCAATCCTCTCTAAAGTGGATGACTCCACTGTTTCTGAAACTCTCATAAGGAAAATTACATTCTACATAAGCTAAAGGTAGCAAAAGAGATATGCTTTTATGCAGTCGGTCTTCCTTTTTGTACCACAGTAATCTCTCAACTTTAAAGGCCTAAGTAGCATAATTGAGAGCCAGTAAGAGGTGTACAACAGTGATCAACACTTAATTTGCTCTTAAAAACGTACAGCTTTGTTTTCACACATAATAAGGCAGACTAACATCAGTCAACTTTTGAGTCTTGTTAAACAGAGGGCCAAGAGGGCTTTCCAGAAACTGGACAAGTGCAATAACATCAAGAGTATGCTCACGTTATATAATAAAATTTTGCAGGAATTTTTAATTTAGCTGTAAAAAAAAGCAGCACACTGATCAGGTTAGTGCACTTTGTCGCTGCATCAAGTTCATAGTATTGTTACCACAAAACGAACTCACAGGTAACATCTACTACTTCTTGCAGACACATCAGCTTATTCAGAGCTGGCTTCGATACCTACACATGGATTGCTTTGATACCTAGACATGGATTGAAGGGCCTTATTTAATCATAGCTCAAGTTACAAAGATGCAGGGTGCTGGAACAACACTGCAGTGTTGAAAGATCTACATCTTACTACGTCTATAGTAAACAGCTGAAAGTGGAGGGTTTTGTTCTTTCCCTTTGTTACTCCTCTGATGATGGACACAAGGCCATGCACTATCTCCTCAGAGTCTATGGACAGAAAAGATATTAAACACACAGGCAGCCATGAGGTGCAACAACACTCAACCAGTCTTCACCTTCCCCTGCTAGGTTCTTCTAGTCTTTCCACAAGACTGGAAGACCTCCAATTCTATTGCAGGACAAAACAAACCAACGCAAGAAGACACCCCTAAGCTGAAGCCTTTCAATGAGAATTCCTGAGCAGCCTTCAACAAGACGAGAGAACATTTCTGAAAGAAATGAAGCATGACTGCAGGAAAAGAAAATCCTAGGAGAAACCAAATATGCCTAATATGCTCCAAAAAGTCTTAAAACAACTGGTAACACGGCCATGAAACTGCTTACCTCTGTCCGTGCGCTTGATAAAAGTATTGTGATTCTCCAAGGGCTGTCCCAGCATTTTCCAATGATTGTTGTCCTTTTTCTTTAAGATAATCTCCACTTTCCCAACTTTTTCAGCAATATTCACTAAATGAGAAAAAGGTTTCACACTGTTACTTTTAGTTACATTTTGCACAAAAAAATATTTTGCTCTTCCATTATAATAAAATTCTAGAAGGATTAGTCATTTCTCATGACTCACAGAATTAATCCGTTAAATTAAAATACCAAATTAAATGTACTTCCAGCTATCTCTTTATAATGTTTTACAACGCAATTAAGACAACAAACACTGACTTAATATGCATAATGAACGTATCTTATTTACTAAGATTGTGAAAAACTTATTTACTACATTGTGAAAAGCTTCACAGCCCATCTGGGCAAAAAGAATGCTCATGAATTCAGAGTCCTCATTTACTGGAAACTGGTAACTACCACTATTTACTTCTTCCTTTCTTTTCCATGGTATTTAAATGAAAAAATAAATCCAAGAAAATCCCAGTCTAAGCAAAAAACAGCTTAAAAAGAACAGAACAACAGAACAAATTTCTAATTATTTTAACATTTAGTCACCCTCAGAGGGATCAGAGCACCATCACCTTACTACTTTCACAGGCCCAAATGCCACAATTTAAAAAAAAAAAACCCATTCAATGTTATGGTTTGATTGTGTCAGAGCCTGCTGGTAAGCAAAAATAAAGTATCTGATGAGTCAGAAAAATAAACTCAAGTTCCACATTCTGATATTGGAAGAGATACAGAAGTGCTGCAAGAGACAGAACTTACCAGCCAAGTCTTCTTGAACTGCATGATCCAAGTCTGAAATAAAGAGAAACAAACTCTAATCTAAGTAAAACCAAAATAACATTCTAGTTATCATATATACATGCAGTTTAAGGCTAGAAATACTGAGTAATGAGCCTAGAACCCTATGGGTCTTTATCTGGCCCTGAAATTTCACTCGTTCATCACATCAGTCCCAGTGACTTCCGCAGGCCTAATACATAGCATTAAGAAAAGCATAATTTTCCCCATTACTTTTAGCAATGACTCATGTAAAGCTACATATCTGGATTTATCTAAATCATTCCACCTGCCTTTTCTGAATAACAGCATTTTAATAACCATCAAAAAGATAGTTGTAGAAAAACTTTCACAACTTTTACATCAATTTCTTATTACACCTTATTCCACGTGTAAAAAATGAAGTACATACGAAACAAAGATGTGAGTTGATAAACAATGTAATTCCTTTACATCAAGGTACTTGAAAGTCTCTAATGAAAGAGGAATAAAATATTAATTGGTATATGCAAAACGCATATGGTCTGATGACAGGGTTTTAATAAAATAGAATGGAAATTCAGTATTTTCAACTGCAAAATTACAGTACTCACCAACTTCTACAAGATACGAGTGGTTATCCACGATGATCTCTCCCCTTAATCGTCTGTCTTGACAGTCAACTGTCACCAACTCTGCATTCATACCCTTTCATAGGCAAGGAAAAAAATCACATTTTAGTAAGGTTCTCTCACAATTCAAGCTGGATCACAAATGGATCTCATAATTCTCCCTTTCATAAAACACACTTACCTTCTGCTTAGTATATATGACAATTGTGATCAAACTATCTGTTTGGAACCAGTCATAACTGTAAAACAAAAAAACAGTAAAGAAAAAAATATATACTTTCTTTGGGCATATCAAAATATATATATTACCAGTTTTCAAGCACTGCTTCTTTCATGAATTTACAAGCCAAATACATTATTTACTGTTTTTTAAAGAGAAAGTCCAGAGCCAATAATTTTGAAAAGACTATTAAAAAAGAACAGTCTAATTATGCATCCTGATAGTCAGCACACTGTAGCTAAAATTATATGGCATTGGATTTACTTAAAAAGCACGTGCATCCTCTTTGCAGCGTATGAACCTTCCTAACAAGATGATTAAAATCCTTGACTCCAGACAAAAGTCTTAAACAGCCAGGGTGGCTTCCAAAAGTTATAGATTCCACACACATACCACAAAGCCACTGTTCCCTTGATCTCCCGAAATCAAGATTCTACACTCATATGTTCCCAAACTGCCCAAACCTTGTAATAAATCCAGGGTAAGCTAAGAAATAGAAAGCCTTCAAATGCTAATTGTTTGTACAACCTTACACTTGCCAAGAAGTAACTAACCCACCCAACCCCAGAAAAGCTATTCCTTTCTTTAGCCCTTTTCATCAGGACCATACATCTGACAATCCCATGCCTGCCTCTCCACCATACGACATCTGTAATTCTCACCTGACTCCAGCATCTTGAAGGCTGCAATCCTAGCAAGTGAAAGCCAACTTTGTCCCCACATCTTCTCCCTTCCCCAACGTCCTAACCATTTCTGTCTACTCTTTGGGCTCTTGGAACAGAAAAGGCGGCAGAGCGAGGATGCCCCCTCCAGCAGGCACTCCTGACAGCCAACACATTCTAGGCTGCACACGTTCCAGTCACACACTGGAACATGCCAGACACACATGGGAAGAGAGGTGGCAAGGTTTGAGGAGTGCTCCAGAAGGTAAGCCACTTTCCAGTTGTTCACAAGCCACACTATTTTATATGACTGCATGTAACTAGCCCAGAGATTACACATTCATTGAGATTTTGATGCAAAGTGCAAAACTGAATCTTGGTGACTCAAGGCATCATGGAGTAAAATGATACCTCTGTGACAACAGGAGGCACATCACAGTGGGGTTTTAGGGACTGCTTTGCTTTGAATATTGTAAAAACTTGAATACAGCTATCACATCTTAATCTATTCCAGCTTGAAACAAAATACTTCTCCAAGGCATGTCAATTCATGTGTTTATGGACAAATTAACTAAAGCCAAAAACGTAATCAGCCCAGCTGGAATGACTTTCCAGGAGTATTCTCAAGAAGCAAGGCTGAGGAGCCTGCAAACATAAGCCATACATTTCATACAATTCAAGGCAGTGCAAGTGTTGGAAACTAACACAGCAAGCCAAGAACTTTGCATCATCATCTGCCTACAGGGTCAATATGACCTTTGGCAAGTCGTTTACACCTGAACCTCAACTTTCCTACTTATAAGAGGATGGTAATGATATGTACTAATTGAGCTGAAACATCAAGAACTAACCATGGAAGAAGTTGCCTGTATTTACTACGAAGTGCACAGAATTATTCAACTGAATGTTCAACAGACAATGAAAGACAAAGGTTTACCTTGGAGTTAAATCTTCAGCAGAAGCATGCAGTACTTTCTTCTCAGGAAGCATGCCTATAGAGAGCAGAGAGCCATTACAATATTTGCTGTAATGCTCACTTAATAGAAATCATAATTAGAGGTAGTTTTTTAGTTTTGTGTTTTTTTTGGGTGTTTGTTGGTTTTGGGTTTGGTTTTTTTTTCCCCCAATTGAATGTTCTAAATACCCTTCCACAATATTTAGTGGCTTTATTTCTACAGGCAGCCAGAAGTATCCAGGTGCTTTTCTTATTTTGTTTTTATTCAGCACTTTCTCTTGGAGAGCAGGCATGAAGTTCTACTTCAGAAATTAACAGTTCCATACACCACAGAACCTGTGCATGCAGCCCTTATGTAGCTTGGTCACAGTTTCATCAGTTACTAGCTTATGCTTTCACACTTCGTGATAGTGAAGCACTGAAAAAAGGTTATCTGAATGAATTTCCTTTAACAGAAATATTTGTTTATACAATTCAGATGAACAAATTCAATTTGGGATGTCTGGTCTAATCTAATTCACAAGTAAAATTTCACATCAGTCAGTTACGCAAAGATAACAGCCTTAATCTCTCTACTTTGCACTTTGCTAGGAATTTTCACAGAATTCATCTACTCACTATAATTACTAAATAACGTGAAACAGCCTGAAAAAGCCTTTGCAGCAAGGCAACACTTGGCCAGTCTTTGAAAACATCAACTGTACTAATCTCTGGCCTAATAGAAACTGAATGTATCTGTCAAAAATTTGAGCAGAGATGACAGATAAAAGCAACTGCAATCCTTCATCAGTTTTAATATAAGGAAGTTATATAGAATCATGACAGAGGAAGCTGCACAAACTGAAATAAAATATGATTTGTAGCACCACATGAACAGCAGTTTTCCTGTACAATGGTTAGGCAGAGGTCTACGATGTTGGTAAGTTCTGGTTTCAAGCCCATTCAAAGGCAAACCTTGCAAACCTGAAATGGCTATGCATAAAATAATTAACATAAGAATTCTCAGCTACCTAGACTATCACCTTCTAAACACCGGCAGCTTTTGTAGTTGGACTACAAGTTTAAACACAGTAACTCAGTGGCTCCACCACGTGGGAAGCAGATAAAACCAAAGAGCCACTCTGGTCTAATCCAATCTGTCAAAACTATTTGATCACCCAGACGGAGGAATTAACCCAAAGCAATTAAAATTCACTGGAACTACTTATTCTTTGATCCTTAATTAACCCTAAGTACACAGCATCTACAGCTGCCAAGGAAGCTAAATGGCAGAGCAGTCAGATCATTGCAAACGAAAACCAACTACCAAATGATAAAAGCCTTCGCAAAGGCTAAGCCTATCTTAAGGACTGTATCACAGGTTTCGGTTGGCCTCAATGGATAAGAGGAATTCAGTGTCATACAGACTCCTATTTACTTTTGCAGGTCAACAGAAATATATGAAAAGCCACAATAAAATAGAATGTTCTAGCCAAACAAGTTATTTATGAATTCTTCTGAAATGCTGTAAGATGCTACGTGAAAACAAGAAGTCACCCTGCAATAAAAAGACAATGATTCAGGCGATCAGTAAACCAGTTAAGGAAAGTGCTCTACTGGTAATGGTCGTAAATAAAGAACTGGTAGTAAAGCTGAAGGCTGAGGGCAGGCATGAAATGAACGAGTTTAAGGACCTGAAAGAAGCGACCAGCAGAATTACAACTCTGCACTTCACAAGAGCAAACTTCAGCTTGTTCAGGGAACTGCTTTGCAGAATCCCATGGGAGAAGAGATAGCAGAACTATTGATAAGAATCTCTCACATTACCCTCGCAGCCACACTTGAGAGATTTGGGTTTGACAGGCGGATTACAACTTGGATAGAAAATTAGTAGGACTGCCAGTCACAAACAGTGTGATGAACAGTACACAGTCCAACTGGTGAGTAGTTATAGATGTCACTCCTTAGGAACAGAGAATGCCGATACTATTCAGTATTATCATTAGCAACCTCAAAAGCACAGCTCTCCCACTGTCAGGAAGTGTGTAAGCAATAACGAATCAAGGGAAGCAGTCAAAACACGAAAGGTCATGGCTATCATTCAGAGGGACCCTAACAGACAAAAAAATGGGCTGACAAAAGCTCCATGAAGCTCAAAAGCAAATGCCAAATTCTGCACCTGGAAGAAAGAAAGATGTGATGCAACAAAAGCAGTGGGAGGTCTGACTGGATAGGAAAGAGCTTTGCAGAATAACTTCCAGGGACTTAGGAGACAAGCCCGACTTGGGCAGATACTGCATCCTTGCGGTGATGAAGGCCAACTTTATCCTGGGCAAGAGCACAGCAGTCACTTCAAGCGAAGTGATTCTTCCCCTCTGTTCAGCATTTGTAAGACCACACCTGGAGTACTGCACCCAGTTTTGGCTCCCCAGTGCAGGGCAGATATTGATATACCAGATAAGTCCAGAGAAAGGCCATCAAGACAGTCAGCAGCTGAAGCAGAGGATATGAGAAAGGAGGCTGAGGGAACTGTGTTCGTTCAGCCTGCAGAAGAAAAGGCCAAGGGGAAATCCAGTTGCAGTCTCCAAGTACCTAAAGAGAATGGGGCGGGAGAGAAGGCAGTACAGAGAAGATAGCCAGACTCTTCTCAGAGGGGCACAGAAGGGCAGAGGCAATAGCCAAGCAGCAGCGAAACTCTGGTTATGTCTATGACAATATACCACCACCACTCCTCATCCCATCCTCCCACACCGTAAGTTTTTTCAAGGTCTGACACGTACATGCTCAAACCCCAGCTTGTTTTCAGATGGTGGAACTGCTCCTCCCCCCCCTTTTTTTTTTAACTATTAATAATACAGAAATCATCATCCCAATAGTTTGGGTGAAAGAGAAATTCAGTTTAGCTCAAAAGTGCAAGGCCTAAAACATCATTTTAAGAACACATCTTTGATATGTTTGTTCTCACACAAATATTAGGTTTTTGAGGTGTGCTGTGGTAATGGAAGTGTTTTGAAATTTTGATGTCTTTTGTTTGAAACTGAAGTATGAACAGATGCTGCAGAGCACATTAGGCTACACCCCCACTGACTGTTATCACTAGCAATATATTCTGAAAACTTCAGCTTTAATTGCCCCTAACATTACATACAATTGACGTTCATAAAAATCAAGAATTGATTGATCTGAGCACATTCCAGATACAATTATTATTTATACATTTCTAGACTGACAGGACAAAAATGTCTTCACTAGTGCCAACAACTTCCAAAAAATCAATGACATAGGCTCCTCTTTCCCACAGCGATGCTTTTTTCTGGTCTCATTTTGACTTATTTTCAAGAACTGAGATGCCAACAACTGAATATGTAAAACCTCATGGAAGGTAACCTCAGGAACTGACCTCTCCTGTTTTGGAAAAACCTCTGGCCAAACAGGTAAACTGAATACAATAAGCAAGTATCAGTATTTTGTCAATTCCATTGGAAACTACCATCAGAATTATTTCTTATGTCTCCTGACAAGTCATATAATCTGGACAAGGAAAGTTATTGCTAGGAGCAGGAGGGGAAGCAAGATGTAAAAGAGGGAATATTACTTATTTCTCTTTACCTGGATCCACTGTGAATATGTAAGATGCATAGGAAAGCACTGGACAGCTAGGCAAGCACAAAAAGTAAGGAATCCATGAACCAATATAATCAAGAAGAGAAGAACATTGAAATAGATAGTACAAATAGTCTTCTGCTTGAATCAAAATATTTACGGTGTATTTAATGATGATTAGCTGCTGCCAAGTGATACAATTCTGATAAAGCAGAGTTCGCTTTCTAAATCCCCCTGACTTTCAAAGCAAGATTAACAGGTTCCAACAACTTGTTCCCAAGTCAGCCAGCAGACCCTGTCAAAGTTTAGCCTAACATCTTATACAGCTATAGAGCAAGAGAGGAACAAATAAAATCAGTCTTGCTTACTTTTCTATGATGTATCTTTACCTTTATGTGTAGCTCAATGCTTGTGCGTACTACAAGGTAAACTGCCTTTCAGAAGTCAAATACAACATTCATAGAACACAAAGGGGGGGAAAGGAAGACAGTATGAGAACAGAAGAAAATAAATGGGAACTCACCAGAGAAAGTATGAACAAGTAAGCTTCCCCTTGCTATGCCTGCAGTTGCTGGGACACCACCCTGAGAACTTCTCTGGTTTCATCTTAAGACACATCCAGGTTTCTGCTCCTCCTGCCACTCAAAAGTTTGACTGCTGCAGACTCATTTTCCAAAGTTTCAGCCTAGAATTTTCCATGACCAATTTGCACCTGTTTCCTCTCACGCAAAAAGGTAAGCCTTCAGTTCAAACTGTATTATTTCCCTTCACAGATGTTCATCTTATTTGCTCCACCAACACACCCCCACGAAACTTCATTCGATGGGATTTCATAAGCCATATTCTTTTAAGAAGCCTATTAGACTAAGACGATTAATCACTCCACAACACTTCCCTAAAAACATCAAAATCAAATGCATAGATCTTGATCACTAGCAATCAAAGCCACCTCCCGTACTCAAGGAAGCACTCAGTGAAGGCTTGTGCAAAGCTTGAATGCTTCCCCATCTCTACAAGCACTACCATCAACCTTCTGATACAAAGGCCTATACTTGCTTCTCTTAGAGCTGTACCAATAGTCAGCCCACTCATTCTCACAATTATATCTCAAGTAGTTCAGTCATGCTGTCATCAGCTAATTCACCTCCACTTCAACTCATTTTCCAGTGATGACGTTCCAGCTTTTAGTAGAAACTTAATAATTCTAAGCATTCCCCAAGATTTTGTCCCATATCTGCTACTCCAGCCCCATGGGCATGTCGCTTTTCAGATACAGAGCAGGATCAAAAAGCTTGGCATTTTCACAGTAGCAGATTTCATAGCACTCAATGACTTGTGCTGTACCTTGTCTGGCTCAAGCAGAAACCTCCTCCATCTCCTACCTCCCTTTTCTATACTGCCCTACTGCTGTCCTGTAATACTTTTAAACACCAAAATCACAATACCCGATTAGGATTTTGCCTTCTGTAATTTCCACAGACCACTACAGCCTCAAGCTCAGGTTCAAATATAAAGACAGACAGAATTCTGGAGACACACTGCTCATTCTATAATATTTAAATAAGCTTAAGATTCACTCCCCACCTTGCTCCAGGTGAATACTTACCATTAAGCTGTTTCTTCTCTTCAGACAGAGCAGAAGAAATCTCTACAAGCATTAAGAAAAAAACGAGCATGACATTAAGAAGTTACAGCACAGTACTTGCACACATCATGCTAAAGAAATATGCCAAAGTAAGGAATCGAGAAGTCACAACTAAATGCAGCACTGATTACCATTCCAAAAGATTATGTATAATTTAAAAAAATACTGTGTTAAAAATTGCAAAAGTTGCACAGCACTAAAGGGTAGGAAATGCGAGAACTCTAATCTGGTACTTCAAACAAACATCACAGATTATCTTGTGCAATTATAAACGTCATAGCTAAGAAGCTTGCCACATCTCTCAGACTTTAGATGACACTCGTCAAGACAACACATAATAGGCACTGAATCTGACCTACAACTATCTAAACCCAGTCCTTGGCAGAAACCCAGGAGAAATGAAATCTTCCTATAAACTCCTTCTGTCAAATGGTTTTATTTGACAAGTTATTATCTAAGTTTTCATTAAATATGAAGTATGCTGCAACCACTCCCAACAAACAACTAAACAAATACTAGCAGGAAAAAAAGAAGATAAAGATTGAATTACATAGTGTCAATTCATCTAGATGGTGCCCAACTCTAGGGGAAAGGCATTACGCCTCTCAGCCACAAATCCTTCTCCTCACAGCAAACCTGTGGGGAAACTAGTCCTCCAGTGTACCCAGGCCCTTTCCTGCCTTCTCTACATGGATATCTCAGAACGTTCCAGTACAAAGGCCCATTTTATACTCTCCTTTCTGGGAGCCAGGTTCGGGGAACGGGGAGAAACCAATGTGCTCTTCCTGCTCCCTTTTATGAAAACCAAAAAGTGAATGTTTCTCCCCTGTTCTTCTGAACCCCTCCCAGTGCTCTGCATCACAGCAGCCAGTGTTAGAAGAAAAATGCCACTGTGAGGCAAATGAAGGAAAGGCTCCTGGAACAAAGCACCAAGCATACAGTACTTCAAAATGACTCCAGAGCTGACCAAGAATTGCCTTCATCAAAGGCTTTCATCTTGTGCCAGTATAAGGCGAAAACAAAACACAAGATGAATGGGAAAGTTCACCCAGAATTTCTGGTCGAGGCTGTATTTGTCTGTGCATTCTGCTATACGCCACTTCAAGCTTTCTGCCAGCATAGGCAAGTCATTCACAAAAACTCATTTCTGATTCGAGGTAATTTTTTGTGTTCAAAAGTCTACTCTCATTTCACCACATTTTAACACGCTACACTGAAACTGGCACTGCAGTTTTAAGGACGGTTTGAGACACTTCCAAGACACAGCCCTACTTCTCATCCTTGGATGACACCTCAGCCTTATCTCACTGAATTAACAATTATACAACACGCATTCTGACTCCTAAGTTATGTTACCACTGAAGTAACATAGGGACATATACTAACATGTGTCTAAGAGAAACATTGACAGTATTAAAAGATACCAGGCAACAAACTAATGTCCATGCTACTGTTAACAGCTGAGTACCCGACAGGAGGGCAAGCAGTTTAATGCCGTACAGGTTTGCTGAGGGAGATACTGAAATCATCTCTTACATGCCTGGGCACTGCTGTAGCTACTGCACTGGCCTTCTCAGCAAGGACAAACACTACACGTTTCAGCGCACAGCTCCACTGCTCTGTAACACCACAGAAGGGACACATCAGCATTTCCTATTAGTCGCTACCATACCATCAGGCAGCATTCCCAAAAGACAAGCTGACAAAACATTAACTATCATCAGCATCTTCAGAAGACTCTTCATTTTTAAGAAAAAAGCTCTGGAATATGCAAGAGACAAGCTTCGGCTTCCTTGGACAGTTCAGTGAGCAAATAATTGTACAACCTTCCAAAAAACCACCAGAACACAGGAAACAAAACTAAGCTAAACAACCACAAATCTCCCAGCAGTGCCCCAACAAACCTACACCTGCCTTACCTGCACTGTATTAAGACTGTACCAAACAGCAAGTACTGATGCTTGCCCTACTGCCAAACATCCCAACGCTGCCAAACAAAGAAAGCAATTTATACCATAATTTGAAGGCCTGCCTTTCCTCTGTAATTATGGGCCTGCTTAATACAATATTCAAACACGTCCATTTCAACTCTGTATTTTATTCTTCCATTTTCAAACGCAAACTTTGCTGACTATGGTCTTCTGGAAGGACACAAGATAAGAGTTATTGACTAACTTCACAATCAGCCAGCAATCATGTTTTTGGTAATTCACTATTCAGAAGAGGAGGACACATAGCCTACCAGGAATCAAAGTAAACTTCAAGAATTTTACAATGAAGAATTTCAGCAAATCCAGTCTAATCAGTTTCATTCTAATTAATGAAGTCACATTTTTTCAAGTCTGAAATGGCCAAAAGGACATACAGGCAACAGCACTTTTTTTTTTTCTATACAGCTGGCAACCTTTATTCTGCAAATTTTACTACAGCAAAATGGGCAGAGCAGTCCTATTACAGAAGAAAGCAGAATAAAAAGTGAACAGCAGAAAATCAACTGTCCTAGCTGGCAGGGGTAAATACATGTTTGTATTTTACTGACTGGCTATCACAAGAATTCCTTCCAGTTGCAGAAAAGTTAGCACAAATCAAGTTTACTTTTAAATTTCTAACTCAACTGACAAAGTAGCAGTAACTTAAATGTAACACCTCAACTCCACGAAGCAGTTACGCTGTCGAGGTTTCTTCATACTGTGCAGCATTTACCTTAAAAGCTCCACACTGGAATTAGCTACCTAGCAATATGGAGACATAAAACACTATTCCCCTTCACGTACAGACCAAACTGAATCTGTTAGACGATGCGATTTAAGCGCTAAGCAAGTATGCAGTGCACCTTGTCAGCAGTCGAAAAGCTACAAGAGATGGCTGAATTTGTGAACTAAAGGATGCCACAGAATTCGAGAAAAGTAGCTGCAAACATTCTTTCACGTTTTCACTGCAGTTTTGCTAAGGGTCAATATGCAGTAATACTGTTTGCTTCCTAGGTATAGGGAAGTTTTGTGTGGCCTACAAACCAAAACAAATACTGAAGATTAAAGTCTCTGGAAACCATTACCGGCATTTTACGGCAATATACTACACCTCTTGCTGTCCCGGCTCAGAGGAGTCTGCTGTATCAGCAAAATTTTCTCCAAGTAAATTCAAATTAAAGGACCCAAGACAGTGTTCTGGAAAGGATAACTGTCCATGCCTCAAATATCTCAATACATAGGCAACTTACCAGACCTACGTCTGGTGCTGAAATCACCACATTGAAAACACAGATTCTTATTTCAAGATGAGAGCTGCCTATGACAGTTTGTCCCCTGGGATCACAAGAAGAAAGCAGGCTCTTGGGCAAAAAAAAATAAATACATATTTATTTCTATATACATACACACATAACACACACATCTGTTTTCTGATGACTAAAAACAAAAGTAGAAATGTAGCAGTACATTACTTATGAAAGTCTTCATGCCTAAAATAGTTTTATCTTCAGGTATCTGCTGAAAAAGACTGAAATATGCAACAGCCTTCATCTCTATGCAAGAACAGAGACTCTCCTTGTAAATACAATGATTTAGGATGTCTCAATTTCCAGACAACTCTGGAATAAAGCACAACAGAAATTATTTCTTTCTTAAAACCCTCACCTTTTGGAGCAGCAATAGGCTTGACAGCCATTCTCCCAACAAGACACTCCTTCAGCATCGATTCATAATTGACCCAACGATGAACCTACATTAACAAAATTTGTTTTCACAAAATTTGTAATTCTTACTCTGTTGCTCTATACACTGAAATAGAAAAGTTCACTTCTGTACAGTGGCTAAAGTAATTTATTTAGCAGATTTTTTTTTTAACACAGACAATCATTATTCCATCATTCAGTACTTCTTTTTACTTCTATTACAGATTACATGTAATTAAATGAAAAAAACAGGATCATGAAAAAGTGAGTCGTTTAATTTATTCTTTTTATGCTTTGCAGTATCTGAACATCATAACTTCAAGTTACAGAAAATATTTCAGAAAAGCATTTTTATGATGTATGTTATGCAACTAGCAGAATAAAGACCTTGTCTTTACCAAAAGTGTGATTAGTCTTGTTTAGATACAAATGAGGGGAAAAAGGATGAAGGAAACAAAGACAGAGAATAGTAGTTAAGATACACAAACACCTCCTACCAAGTTCGCATATTTCTGTTTGTTTCTGTCTTACTATTACTGAATCATTTGGAAATTACCTATTTTAGAAAGTCAAATAAAGCGAAGCAAAAGCAGGAGCTTTCCAGACCAGAACTGAAGAACTTGCAGAGGAAATGGATGGCAGAAAACCCAATTCTGATAAGGCATCCAGGATAACATCGCAAGAAAAGGAAACAAAGTGCTGCATGACAAATCTGAATGGTACGTAGTGATTTAAAAATAAACTGGACAAGCTAAGGAGACGAGATAAAGAATCCCATCCACAAGTTGTAGTTTCCTTATGTATAGGTAACAGAAAGAAATTAAGGATTTTGAGTGACAGTTATTTTTTCCAGAAATTTGAGAAACACTAGCAATCTCCCAAACTTCTAAATTAAGAGATCAGTATCTGACAGACATGGAATGATAAAGTACAGGGGGTAACAGTAGAAACGCCTCCAGAACACGAAAGGCATCAGTCAGAAACAAAAATGCGAACAGCATATTTTAAGGATCTGAACACCGCTTTCCACTCCCATGACAAAACAAACAAAAAAATAAAGTGTAGCAAGTATGTATCTGAACTTAGTAACAACTTGAGGGGCTTCACCAAATATTCCTGATGTCAAAACTCCTGTTTCCAAGTACATCATACCATACTTGACAGTGATCCAACTACAGAATTCCAGGCCATACCTTGATACTGGATGAACTTTTAGGAGAGAAACTCCGTATTTCTTAAAACCAGGGAATTATGCCCAAATCCAGCACTTCATTAGTGAAAGGATTCACCAAAGATAAACTTAACATAGCTAAAACATCATCACATCTTTATTTACATTCACTGTTAAAAACATTTTGAAAATACAGGCACAACATACTGTGATGCATGAACTGTAAAGAGGTTACATATTTCCTTTCAGAAACAGCGGAGGTTTCTTTTCTGCTCTTTCCCAGTTTCTCAGACAAATCTTGTAAGCCAAGGAGACTCAAAGAATGTCTGTTTCTAAAAAACACCTACTCAGTGAACCATCTTTTACAGCACCAGGTTTGCAAACAATTCCTTACAGAAAGTACACCCATTCTGCAGACCCCTTACTTTCTGAATCTTTTCAAAACATTTGAAGAAATGGTAAACAACGAAGAGACCAACTGTCACCTTGTGATTTGCTCACCATCAGATAATAGCAGCCCCAGCATCTTTTCTTAGCACTTTGTTGGCTGATAATGCAGTGGCCAAGTTAGCAGGCAAACAAAATACTACAAGCATTTTTCAGAAAGTGGAAGTTCTCAGAAGAAAACGCCTCTCAAACGACAGCAGTTAGTCATTGTAGCCATTTATTAAGAAGGTGGTATCTCAAGTTGTTGCTAGCTTTATTGCTATTTCAGCTAAAAAATTAACTTAACAAAATAGGCAAATTGAAGTATCATTCCAAAAGCATAAAGTGACATTTTCATTATTGCCTCTTGGTTCAAGGTTTAAATTACAGGGCTCTTTCAGCACACATAAATGCCATTCTGAGCAGTATCCCACTGCCTTTACTTAGACCTGAGAAAGTTCAAACCACCATTTCCACTGGAATGCCCTAAAAATATTCAGAAAACATGCATTTTTCAAAACACCTTTTGGTGAGCAAGTGCCATTCGCTGTCAGTTGTTCTCACCTGATCAAAGAGATCTGTACCATCAGTTCCTGCTGCTTTCATCAGTTCATCCTCACCACCAGGATGATATTCCATGTATGGTGTGACATTATACACAAATCCTGCAGAAAATGGAATATAAAAACATGAACAGCATTTCTACAACCGCTATAACCACTCCAAAACCAGCCAAAAGGGTAGTGTATGTTAAATGCTGTAATGGCAAACAGTGGACATGATGGGAACAAACAGTATGACTTTCCAAAAACCAGAAACATTGTTACACAATCGTAAAGAGCACAAGACATATCTTCGTACACAGAGAGGTCAATCCTACAATGCCATACCACTTGCCCCAGTGAACATGAGAAACCTGCAGGGTTAAGACTTTAACAAAATAAACCCTTGAAGTTGAACAGGATGTATCCTACCTAGGAAGTAAAAGAACCAGAGGCTGGTTTAAAGAGACCTAAAACTGAGCCAGTTAGCACACAGAGTTGTTTACACTTTCTCCCTTCCAATTACGGTACTCCTAAAGTGCTGTCATAGTTGTTTCCCTACCACCCATCAACTATGGAATAAATGCCTATGGGAATGAACTGCCTCCCATAAGAAAAAACTGCTACCATCAGCAACAAAACTTCCATTCTTCAGATTCAGCAATATAAAAAACTAAACACAGCCTATGCTCATTAGAGGCTAACAACTCCGGTACCAAATTTGTCCCAGTAAAAGGGCTCAGCATTCTCTCTACATGAGCATTATTCTTAGTATTTCCAGGGAGATAACACAATGCTTCTTCATAGGTCTGAAATGATGATATCTAATTATTGTCGCTATGCAACCAGAATAATTAGAGGCCGGAGAATGCAGCTATAAACAGATTTAACTACAGACACGTTGCTGCTAACAGGGCTATTGCAGGCCTACCTAGCAGAATATTTAAAAATATATAAGATTATCCAAACAGGAAGCTACCAGCAGCAGAACTGTGCCAGTGCTTTCATAAGAAGCTTTTAGCACATTAAGAAGTGTAGGTTAATTACTTCAGAAGAAGAGGCAGGTATTCACCACTGGGCCGGGGGAAGACGTACTTGGGACAATCCTACTTGGCAAGAACCACCATCCCAGACAACAAAGGAAGGATCTTTGCGTATTTTCCTGACCTGATCTTCCAGTGAATGAATCCACTGTGCCATCTTGTGTGCAGCACTGACTACTGCACATAATAAAATGTAAGTATCTACATAGTTACGACCTCCTGAATATTACTCAAATATTCAGGTTACCATCAAACTCACAGGAGCAAAAGAACTCTCATTTATACGCCCTTCATGCTTTTTTTAACTTCCCTGCCATGCCACTTTACATAAAAATTTGTGGCCTATATGACAGCTTCCTGTGATGCTCATCATACCAGGCTTTTGAACAAAGTTAGCTCTTCTTCTTTTACTTCACATTCATCTCATCAATTTCTGCTCTTTCTTGTAGAGACACAGTCTAACTACCAATGCAGAGACCTCATTTAGCTTTTCCACAACGGTGTTATTTTACTATCTCTCCACATACCAGGTCTATAGATAATCTACCAGGATTCTCAGTTATGCTGTTTTTCTCATTAGTAGTCCTAGAACAAAGAAAAGGCATAGATGGAAAAATTTAAAGACAGATACAGAAGCAACATGACAGAGTTCTTGTGAAAACCAGCCTCAGAGATGCAGTCAAGGGGGAATAAGAAATTAAAAACAGAAGTGTGCTTAAGCAGTGATTCTGTCTGCAGTAGTAGATGTCCCTCTTTAAGCAAGAGAAAAAAGAGCAGACCTCCACAGTAAGTAAGCTTTCTTTATCTCTCCTCCCACTACAGTTTCACTGGTACGTGCAAGAGCAGCACACAGAGCATTAACAATCCTATTATTGTGTTCAAAAGCCAGTACTGAATGACATTTTACCATTACTTTCACTCTCATCCTCTTTAACCCCAATAAAAACACAGTTGCCCTCAGAGTTATTCTTAACTTTCTTTTCCTGGAGTTCAGAGATGACATTATGTCAAATATCAATGTTGTTCCTTACCAGATGAAAGATACCACTAAATGAACCACTCTTCCTAGAGAAGTGTCACGTTGGCTACTCTGATCTTCTTAATCTACCTTCATAGAAGTGCTGTTGTCTCGTAACATATTTAAGGTGATACTAATTATTTAGAGGCTAAAATAATTAAACTGAAGAGCAAACATTTTACTCCTTTCTTTAAGACAACTAGGAACTTCATTTTCAGCACTGAAAATACTCTTCTATCCAAGGCTATTGCTCCAAACCACCTTTCACGGATTGTCACCTCATAATATATGATACTTTGAAGTTCTGAGCTAAATTTTCATTAAAATAATCACATAAATAGAATAGCTTAGTTACCACAGATAGTTGTTATACTAGACAGTGATTACAAGTGCTCTGTGTGGTAACTGTCATTCGTCTTACTAAGTTTTATGAAGTAATATGTAGGCTTGCACACTTATTTCCCCAAGACCATTCCACAGGCTTAAACAGCATTTTCAGTATTTCTATGTCTCTGGATGCTTTAAAGCAATCACTAAAAATAGACAAATGCTAAGGATAATTAACTCTGAGGAGCGTAAGTACACTTCAGCATTTTCAATGCCTTATTCTTGCTAAACCCTTGTTATTTGAGGCATCACCTACAATCTTGTGTTTTATTATTTTCATATGCAGGTATAAAACAAGCATAAAAACTGCCCACTTGGAAGCACTGCTAAGAAAGGCTTCAAAGCAAAGAAAACCTTTGTGACACAAAATCTCTAACTTGAACAAAGTTTTGTCCAATTACGTCAACATTACACCTGGCCTACACATAAAAGGTGGCTAGTTTGTTTTGGGCTGTGGTTTTTGTTAATTCTTTTTTAAGTACAGAAGAGAGAAGCTACGCAAAAAGCATAGAAGCAACATCACAGCAACCAACCTCGTATACATATCCAGCAGTCCTCCTTTTTGTTGTGTTTAGCCAGCTCATCTTCAGTCACTTCAATTAGCCTCCCTTTTAAACCAGTCAAGTCCTTCCCACTCTTAGTTAGTCGAATCCAATCCATAAGACTCCTTCCAGGTTTTAATGGTACCTGAAAAACGACAAATGCACCAACGTTATTAAACTCTAAAAGAAGAAAGAGCCATTCAAAATACTTTTCTAAGGTCCCTAGGAGGAGTTGGACAAAATAAGAAACAACACAACCCATATCCTTCACTGATATTTGGCAGCCCTACTCAGCAGCAAGGGTGCTAGTAACCCAGACAATGTAACTATCGAACATCAACAAACACTTAGATGACTCTTCCCAAAGCAAACTGCAGACACCAAGTCATCCTGCAGTGGTAAAAAGCTTTTATCAGCATCATTTGAGATACAGCCTGGAAACCTACGAGCAATAAAGAAGACAGATTTTAAAATCATGGCCAGGTAGGACAAGGTAGAAAAGTTCACCTTCACAGCGTTCACAAAGACTTTCCGCAAGCCCTACAGCAACTGCAAATCTCACCCAGAGAAAGCTGGGACTGAATTCTTGTAGTTTACCAGGGATGTATTAGGCGTGGCCTGCCCTGAAAGGCAGAGCAAGATCTTCAGGGTTTTCAGCAGCGCCACAGACTGGGAACCCTTTTCATCCAAACTCTAACAGCAGGGAACAGGGTTAAAGAATCATGCTCTTACAAAACTGCAGCAAAACCAGAAGCGAGCAAACTAAAGAGCACACAGGCCCGCGTCCCCTGGTGCTACTTCAGCCTAAGCACGAGTTTGCTTTCCAAGCCAGGTCTGCAGACAACAAACAGCCCCCAAAACCACTCCAGAGGTGAAGGCCCAACACGTTAAGGCGTGCGCAGTCATTCCAAGCCGAAAGGGCGTGCGGAGGGACCCCGAGCCAGCCCGGGAAGGCAGAGCAGGAAGCGTCATCATCACCGCCTTCAAAACAGAGAAGTACGACGTACTTTTCAGCGAGGCAGCAGAGCCAGCCCCCGCCCGGGGGCCCTGCCCCAGAGCCGCCG